ACACACACACACACACACACACACATATATATGCATTTAACTGGCCAAGGTGGTGAAACCCCGTTTCTACTAAAAATACAAAAATTAGCCGGGCGTAGTGGGAGGAGCCTGTAATCCCAGCTACTCCATAGGCTGAGGCAGAGAATTGCTTGAACCGAGAAGGCGGAGGTTGCAGTGAGCCGAGATCGCGCCACTGCACTCCAGCCTGGGCGACAGAGCGAGAAGGCTCTGTCTAAAAAAAAAAAAAAGTATTTAAAAAAGATTGGGCCGAACTCTGTGTGGGCCGAACCCTGCGGGGAGGGGACATAAACAGGGAGATTGGTAACTGTGCAAGGAGCAAGGAGAGCTAAGCAGAAAAACGGCTGGGGCAGCGTCAGTGGGGGTGGAGAGGACAAACAGATACTAGAAATATTCGGGAGGCAAATCAGCCGAACTGAATGTGGGGAGAGAGGAGTCTGGGAGAACGCCCAAGTTACTCGTATGAGAACTGGTGGATGGGCCGGGCGCGGTGGCTCAAGCCTGTAATCCCAGCACTTTAGGAGGCCGAGACGGGCGGATCACGAGGTCAGGATTTGGGCTCGACTCTGTGTGCCGAACCTGCGGGGAGGGACATAAACAGGGAGATTGGTAACTGTGCAAGGAGCAAGGAGAGCTAAGCAGAAAAACGGCTGGGGCAGCGTCAGTGGGGGAGAGGACAAACAATACTAGAGAATATGCGGGAGGTCAAATCAGCCCGAACTGAATGTGGGGAGAGAGGATCCTGGGAGAACGCCTCAAGTACCTCGTATAGAACTGGTGGATGGCCGGCGCGCGTGGCTCAGCCTGTAATCCAAGCACTTTAGGAGGCCGAAGACGGGCGGATCACGAGGTCAGGAGATCGGACCTCCTGCTAACACGGGAAACCCGTCTTACTAAAAAAATACAAAAAACTAGCCGGTCGAGGTGGCGGGCGCTGTAGTCCCCAGACTACTTCGGGAGGCCCTGAGCAGAGAATGGCCGTGAACCGAGTAGGCCGAGCTTCAAGTGACTGAGATCCAGTTCACTGCATTCCAGCCTGGCGACAGCGAGCGAACTTCCCGCTCAAAAAAAAAAACTAACAAAAAGAGAAACTCGTGATGTTGGGTTTACAGCTGAATGCACGCAGGAAGAAACAAATGGGGAGAGC